TCTCACATTGTTCTGTTTACATTTGTGTGAAAACAAGGTCCAATCAGGCTGAACCTCCACAGGAAAGTAGAATCTATTGAGCTGTAAGTTATCTGAACATTTCGTGATGATAGCACATTCCTAAGGGGGTCAAATCATGTCCCAAAGGTCACCGGGCCTGGTGTCAAAGACACGTGTCCAGTTACACCTTTGGAGGCTTATACCTTTTTCTCTGAATGTCCTAGAGAGTCCAGGTTTGTTTTAAAATACTCTAATTGACAGCCCCTATCACCAGAAAAAGGAATGGAGTCATTAGCACTTAAGGTTTTTAAATGGCACCCAGAATTATGTCGCACAAAGCACAGTTTCACATAATTTTGGTTCCAGTTCCCTGAAACAAGGTCCAATCAGACTGAAACTCTACAGGAAAGTAGAATCTATTGAGTTGTAAATTATCTGAACGTTTCATGATGATAGCCCATTCCTAAGGGGGTCAAATCATGTCCCAAAAGTCACTGGGCCTGGTGGCACTTAAAGACACGTGTCCATTTACACCTTTGGAGGCTTATAACGTTTTCTCTGAATGTCCAAAGCCCTTTTCAGGCAGACATTCTGGAACATTTGCGGACAATTCAATCCGGTTTTTAACCGGAACTGTGTTTTCAGACACACCACTTTTGTAACGGAACTTGTCCTTTCGGCTGCGTTCACACAGCAGGGAAAAGTTCCAGATGTCTGACGATGGCGGGGGGGGGGGGGGGGGGGGGGGGGGGGGATCGGACTTATGTTAAGAAGAAGAAGAAAATATCATTTCTATAGCGCCTCTCAAGATAAAAATCACGAGGCGCTTAAGCATAATTCTGCGCACACGAAGACGCATAAGAGACCTGGATGATGAAGCTCAATGGTTAAAGGAATCACTGAAGCGGTGTGAAGCGCTCCGTCGCGCATCTAGGCGATACCGTAGGAGGCGAGCTGCCGTGGTTCGCCGCATGATACAGGAGCGAGCTATCTAGCGTCCCCCGGTCTCCTCCTCCTCCCCCTCCCTCTTGTCCGGAACTTTACCTCACCAGTCTGAAGCAGCCACCCTGTCCGTAACAAGTCCGGACCTGTTACTAGGGGCTTTGTCCGGATAAATTCCGGAACACGTTATCCGGATGTTTGTATTCAGACAGAAAGGTATTACGGACAGAGTCCGGAACATTTCCGTTTTTCATGGCCTGTCTGAAGGGGGCTCTAGAGAGTCCAGGTTTGTTTTAAAATACTCTAATTGACAGCCCCTATCACCAGCAAAAGGAATGGAGTCATTAGCACTTAAGGTTTTTAAATGGCACCCAGAATTATGTTGCACAAAGCACAATTTCACATAATTTTGGTTCCATTTGTGTTAAAACAAGGTCCAATCAGGCTGAAACGCTACAGGAAAGTAGTATCTATTGAGTTGTAAGTGATCTGAACGTATCGTAATGATAGCACATTGCTAAGGGGGTCAAATCATGTCCCAAATGTCACCGGGCCTGGTGTCACTTAAAGACACGTGTCCAGTTACACAAGACTGGCATCCAAAGGCCTAATTTATTAGACAGATTATAAGATTATGAAACAGATTATCTCTCCCAAAATCAGCTGTCAGAAATATAATAGTTAAAATTATAAGATTATTAAACAGATTATAAGATTATGAAACAGATTATCTCTCCCAAAATCAGCTGTCAGAAATATAATAGTTAAAATTATAAGATTATTAAACAGATTATAAGATTATGAAACAGATTATCTCTCCCAAAATCAGCTGTCAGAAATATAATAGTTAAAAAAATAGTTACAGGAAATTGGTTTATTTTCCAACAAATTGAACTGTTCATGTTTGGTTTCATTTTAAAGATAACAATAAATACAGCATGTTGGTATTAGGCACAATATCGTTTAATTCTCACACGTCTAATTATTTAAACATGTGTCTGGGTATTTTTTTGTAAACCTGAAGACAAAATGGAGGGAAAATGTTTGTTTACCACAAACTCACTGAGTTTGAATGTCAATAGGTGAATAGCCTCTTGATTACAAGTGAATAAGCCCAGTACATCGAGCACCAGTGATGAATTCACCTATACATGTGAATAGAATGAGAATGGGCAGCCCCACCTTTGGAAAATGTGTCACACGTCTAATTATTTAAACACATGTATCTGGATATTTTTTTTGTAAACCTGAAGATATAGACCCTTTTACTGTTTGTAAACAATATGACATCAGCGAGAATGCGTGCGCAGCTTGGCAACATAGAATGGCGTTGTGTCAGGCTTTATCAAGCTACGCTGCGGGGTTATCACCGGCAAATCTTGAATGTTATATTATTAAACTCACTTTAACGAATGGTAACAGACTCCCGGATCCCTGTGGCATTACAGAATGGGTGGAAGATGTAGGTGCGTGGCCCGATATATATACGTCTTTAGTGGAGAGGCCCAGTAAGTACACACGTGAGAAGCTACGGGCATACAAATCGTTAGATGCATACAACTATGTTGTCTGTGGCCACGTACAGAAAGTAAAATATCACGACATAGACTCTTGAGTTTTGCGTCTTGAAGGCAGAAGTCCTTCCTAGCCAAAGACAAGGACACAAGACTGCTATGTACGAGGCTTGGGTCATAGTAAACAAACCAGAGAACTACGTACCTTTATGGCAGGGTGAGTATAGCATAGGTTTCTTTTTTTAGCATGCTCAGAGTACAATCGTGTTAATTTTTAGAGAAATACAGTTTATACTAATATGCAGTGGGAAAAAAACAGATGAATTAGAATGAAATGTTAATTTAATTTGCAAACCAGCAAACGCAACTTACTTTATTTAATAGAACACACGTTAACCAGCTTTCTGGTGTAATTTTAGTACATAATTACCTTACCTGATATAAAATGGGCGCTACAAACTCGAGCATTTCGGATCGTGTTTTCAGTCGTTTTCATTGATTCCTTTTGATGGTCTTCAGCCACAGATGCCTCCGATTTTGTTGAAATGGATGTGCTCCCTTCAGAATTCGGTAAAGTGTCAGTCCACTGCTTGAAGAGAAGCGATTCTGGCATCCATACACGCAACAACCCAACATTTTTATGTGCTCAGAACTTCAAAACAAAGGGTTTAAAATGCTGTTTTAGTATCGAGTGTGAATGAGGAAGCCTTCACTCTCGTTGCCAGGCTGCGCACGCAACTTTTGATGACGTAGGTAGTAAAAGGGTCTATAGGAAGGCCAGATTGAAGCAAATTTAAGACACGATTTGCACAAATGAAAAGAAGCAACATTGACAAATCGTGATTTTATAATGAAAATGCTAGTATGAGGTGGGCTGTCTTATTACAGTGCCTTATCACACCCCATCGAGCTTAATATCAATGTAAAGGAGAGATTTCAAGCTTTCATTTGATGTGTGAAACATGTTTGTGAGACATACCTAGCCTGAGGAATCCATGGAAACATTTTATTAGACGCTGATGTTTAAAAATGACCCCAGATAATGGATTGATGAAACGGGCTGTTTCTAGCTGTAGCATTGTCCTGCACACATGGAGCTAGGCTTGCTGGAAAGCTCTGATTCTCCTGAAAAGTTTAAGACCAAGCAATGCATAATCCAAAAGAGTCTTGTGAGGTGTACAGCTGTTCACAAGTGAGCAAGTAAAAGTGTTTTTTTTTTATTATTTACCCATATTGGTTAATTAGATTTCCGCATATGTGTTACAATTTGCCAGATTTGTAAATTAATGTGTGTACCATAGTTACCAACCTAACTCTTCCCAGTGCACTAAAACCCTTGGTCAGAACAGCTACACAGCTTTATTTAACAGGTATGACATGCATTGGATTCTGGGTCATTTTTACATTTACAGCGCTTGTGATGTCATCCTTTGTTGGATGCAGGTGTAATTTGCAGGTTCAAATCCTTTTCAGCCACTGTTTCCACAAATTTAAAGCTTTCATTAGAGTAAGTGGTACAGTAGATGTCTGAACAGACAGTAACAACCGTTTTATTACAATCTGTATTGGTCTGATTTGAATAAATTAAGAGGTTATGTTGTCTGTAGTGACATGTTTCCTCATTGGTGTGTGCCTCAAAACCCAACTCTAGGTTGTCATATCTTGTTTGGAAGCTCTTAATCCAAGCTATTTAATTATCATAACCTGATGCTCCTTCCTTGAACTGCATGCCTGCATTGACTGATTGCGTTTGTCACATCTAAGCCTGAAGACTGGCATCCAAAGGCCTAACTTATTAGACGCTCATGTCTAAAAATGACCCCAGATAATGGATTTGAGAAATGAGTGAGCTACATGCTGCTACTGGGATGAAGCTAATATTTTTGGAAAGCTCAGGGTCTGCTGAGAAAAACAAGGTAAAGCAGTCCAGGAATGGAGCAGATTTCATGCATTTTGAACATTTTCATACACACACCAGCATGTAGCTCACTCATTTCTCATGCTACAGGGATGAGGCTAATATTTTTGGAAAGCTCAGGGTCTGCTGAAAAAAATTATAAGATTATTAAACAGATTATAAGATTATGAAACAGATTATCTCTCCCAAAATCAGCTGTCAGAAATATAATAGTTAAAAAAATAGTTACATGAAATTGGTTTATTTTCCAACAAATTGAACTGTTCATGTTTGGTTTCATTTTAAAGATAACAATAAATCCAACATGTTGGTATTAGGCACAATATTGTTTAATTCTCACACGTCTAATTATTTAAACACATGTGTCTGGATATTTTTTTTGTAAACCTGAAGACAAAATGGAGGGAAAATGATTGTTTACCACAAACTCCCTGAGTTTGAATGTCAATAGATGAATAGCCTCTTGATTACAAGTGAATAAGCCCAGTACCTCGAGCACCAGTGATGAATTCACCTATACATGTGAATAGAATGAGAATGGGCAGCCCCACCTTTGGAAAATGGGTTGGGCTTTGGGCCTATATAACACTGACAAATTACATCCAATTCCAGTCTACCTTTGACTTTTTTGGAGCGCACACCTTCTGCTGAGTATCCTGATTTTTGAGAACTTTTTCTTCTTTGATTTTATCTGCTGAGTATCCTTGTTTTTGAGAACTTTTTCTTCTTTGATTTTAACCTGTTAGAGGAGACAATGACTTCAACCGTGTAAGTTTATTTTAAATTTCACAATGTGCTTTTATCTGTCGATAGTTGTTGTGTGAAAGCAAACAGAGAAATGTTTTTATCACCATTTTTGACATCATATTTACAAGCAACAATAGATGCACATTTTGAAAAAGGTTTTAAAAGGGCAATAACTGGTGTTTGATGTTTTTTGGCAACCTAGAGTTGGGTTTTGTGGCTGAAAAGGATTTGAATGTGCAAATTACTCCTTCATCCAACAAAGGATTACATCACACATGCTGTAGATGTAAAAATTATCCACAATCCAATGCATCTTTTGCCTTAAAATATATGATTTACTTTAATGTCCAATGATGACAACCTCACATGTTGTTTGGAGTCTTAAGTCAAAGTGAAAATTTAAAAATAATTAAGTACATGATATTATTTCAGTTATATCTGTTATTATTTTTTTATTTCAAACATTTTGCTACAAATGTGTGCTAACATTTGATGTTTTCCAGAGATTGTATTTAATTCACTTTTGATTCACAGTGAGAAAGATCGTCGCATTGTCTACTGCCTGATTTGCCAGAAGCCACAGAACATGCTGCCAGCCCACTTGTCCAGAGTGTGTTTGAAAAATAGCACACCTGAACAAAGATGTTCTGAGCTGAAAAGGGCAAAGGAGTCCATGAAAAATTGGACCCGCCAGGCAAGGATATGGGAATACCTGGACATGGTTAAGCGGTACCCAGACAAAACCTCTCGTCTTGCACTGGTGGCAGATCTTCAAGAAAGGGGCTTTTTTGTAAGAAATGCACCACAACCCGAAGACCTGGATTCAAATGTGGCAAAAGACCAACAACCCTCATCCAGTTCAGTCATAAAATCTGAACCAATGGAAGAGACTGCCAATTTGGAAAACAACGAGGATGCGGATGATCCATCGTGGCAAAAGTAAGTTTTAATGAAATGAAACAATCAATTCTATAATACTGAGTAAAAGCATGTCTAAAGGATCTTAACATTGTTTGTGTTTTCTACAGGGAGCCAGCACAGCCACCAACGTCTAGTGTCCGAGAACGCACGAATGAGATGGGCTTGCATAAAAAATTCCCAGACCACAACAAAATGCTGGTTGACTCACCTCTGGAGCCTCCAAAGAGCTTTGAAGAGTTCATCTCTGTTTTTCCCATTGCACTGAATGGGCAACCACCTACCAAAATTCAGCGGACTGATGCAGGCTTTAATGCAGATCGCTGTTTTTATGATAAGTGGAGGGCCACTCAGTTTGCAAAACGGGAACGTTACATGTTGTGTAAGTATTGATTAATAATCCACAGATTGGTTAAAAAATATTATGTTAGGCTAATATTATTATAACTATCTTAAATGGAATGTCTTGTGTTTTTTACAGCTAAATTTTACAGACATCCTCCTACCGTCTCCAAGGTAACAAAGTTGATCCAACGTGAGGGGTGGACAGCAAACTACCCACAGCCTGAAGATATTGTGGGCAAGTGGAAGCCGGCACCAAAATGTCAACTGAAGGAGGACCCGAGGATTTTAAAGAGGGTTGTGGATCAGAAATGGTCTGGGATCGCTATAAAAGATTTTGAGGACAAACGAGGACAAGGTGTGTGAACAAACTGATTTCTTCATTCCTCTAATCAAAGCTGATCACAATACAATGTCATTTATTTTTTTTATCATATTTTCCCACAGGAGTTGTTGCCACCAGACGATTCGTGAGAGGATCTGTCATCTGCGATTATCACTGAGAGATCATTCCTGCAAAGCAAGGGAAGAAAATGATGCAGAACATTACAGATGACATGGGATATCTTTTTTTCTTCTCAACACTGGCTAATGAGAACCTGTGCATTGATGCACAGACATTTCCCTGCAAATGTCACCCTGACATGCAAACGTTTGGGAGGAAATTTAATCATTCAAGCAAAAACGCCAACATGAAGCCATGGCTCTGCTCTATGAAGTTTCAAGATGGAGAGAGACCTGTGATTTTGCTCATCGCCAAAAAAGACATCGAAATAAACGACGAACTGAAATTTGACTATGGTGTAAACCGGAAGTCGTTTCGGGGAGAAGGACTTGACTTGGAATGGCTGGATGATTGAAGCGACATAGTCAGCCTTTCACAAACGACCAATATGACTCATGTATGAAGATCTTACCTGTAAAGATAAATGTGATACTGCTGAAGATTTGTTGTATGATTGTCAATTAATCTGTTGTTATCAAAATAAAAATGGAGAGAACCAGTAATGAGCATTGATCATTTTGACTATGGTTGCAATTATGGTAGTAACGTAAACCCTGATATTTACACCAAGCTCAATCTCTTAGTGAGCAGGGATATTTTGATAAAACAGCGGTTCTGTGTATTTGTAGATCCAGTGTTCCACTGAGCTGGGTGACAACTTTAAAAATGTGGAAAACATTGCAAAAAAGTATTTGATAGTGCAAATATCACCTAAATGCAATGAAGGGTAACTTCCCCAGGGCTGTAAATACTCAAGAATCCAACACAAAACTTCAAACTGCCTGTAGGGTTGTCCTGGTTAATGCTAACATAATGGGGCTGTTCTCACTGGAAAGCTGAGCTCTTGCTGAAAATGGGGAGATATAGGAAGGCTATAGCAAGAGCTTTGAAACAAGATATGACAACCTAGAGTTGGGGTTTGTGGCTGAAAAGGATTTAAATGTGCAAATTACTCCTGGATCCAACAAATGTTTACCTCACGTGTGCTGTAAATGTAAAAACTACCCACAATCCAATGCATGTTTTCCCTTAAAAATGAGAATGATATTAATGTCAACTTGTGGCAACCTAGCAGGCTGCTTAGAGTCTTATGTCAAAGTCAAAACACAAGTGCTTGAGTCGTCAAGTTGTCAATGACTTTGGCCTACGGGGACCAAGTTCAGGGTTCGATGAGACGCACAAAATCAGTCAGTGCAAGCATGCAGTTGTAGCAAGGAACTGGAGGTTATGATGATTAAATAGCTCTGATTAAGAGCTTTCAAACAAGATATGACACCCCATAGTTGGGTCGGGACTAATGTTCATTGTTCTTGTATTAATAAGGCACTGAAACTTTCCTCAAATGACATTTTGACCCGTGAATGGCCTTTTTAACACTCTAAATTCAGGACATTCTTGGCATATTTTGTCTCAAGCTTAGTATTGTAACGTGAGGAAGTATGGGGTTTCTGTGCCAAAGGTCGTATTTGCCCGGCTGGGTCAGAGCTGGGTCACGCAGCACCTTCACCCACAGATTAAGACCTAAGATGCCAGCAAGTCTGAAGGAATCCACAACATCACATCACCTGCTCTTCAGAAGAAGGACTTCAACCCACAGTCTAGTCATAATAAAACAGAGTCTTAAACTTTCTTCTTTATTTTATAAATGTTAAATAATCAGTTGATCACTTTGCTCATTATAAATGTATTTTAATCAAATGAATGATTGCTATGCTTTGGGTAATCATAATGAACTATAAGGAATCAGTACTTAATTAAATAATGTTTTTGAAGATGTTTAGCAATGACCTTCACACTTCCTCACACAGGTCCGTATCCACAGTAACTCAAAACACATTTGCTCTGACGCACAACAAGTTTGCTTTGGGAAGAGAAGTGGTTTTGGGTAATGAGTCAGAACGAGAGTAAGATCGGATGAGAGAGGAAGTGCAGAACGAACGCCACGGGGAAAGGAGCCCTGCCGGCTTCCTATTCTCCCTCCATGCTATTTCTGTCAAGCCAGACAGAATAGCAGAAATGCAACCGCTAACGCAGACTCGTCCCAGAGTCTTTTGATTTCTGAGTTAATTTAAACTTGAGAAAGCGCATCTGCCAAACGCTTCAGCAATGTGTACCGAGGTCAACTCTGGATTGGATCGTCAGCACACCTTCGTCTTCTCTGTCAGCCAAGGTGTCATCTAGAGAAACATCCTCCTGTGAGGTCCGGATCTAAAAGAGGGTCCTAAGTGCGGTGAGGCAGAACACAATAGATAGCGTTCTGATGCTGTTTTTCTAATAAGAACTAAAGTTTAACTGCAAAACATCATTTTTCACTCAGATCACCTTTTCTCTCCCTAAAGCAATCTCAGACACCTGCATGCACACATTCATAATTCCATCATTCTCAAATCTTAGCACATCCAACACAAGGTCTATTTGTGCAAGCTTAAGATATCAACTGTTAAAGATTGTCCAACAAGGTTGCCAATGTTGACTGTTTTTCCTATGATTGTCATTTCAAATCGTTAGTTTAAATTGAAGAATTAAAACTCTTAAAATTTAAACTTGTCTTTTCATTGAACTGAAACACAGACAAACGTATATGATCGTCAGTTTATCGATGAAAACAACCTTTGAGTCTTCTTAACTCTATAACATTTGGTTATTAATTTGTAAAAAATTAATAATCCAGATTATTATGTAGAATGGTTTATCTTTCATAAAAGAGCCAACAACCATTACGCTACAGTATCCTTTGAAAGGTCGTAATCTGTACTATTGTTTCATTGCATGTCGAAGGAGTTTAGCCATTCACAGACAGAGCTGCTGCAGGAAATGTAAGTTAGGCCTTTAGATGCCAGTCAGGACCAAGGTTCATTGTTTTTGTATTAATAAGGCACTGAAACTTTCCTAAAATGACATTTTGACCCGTGAATGGCCTTTTTAACACTCTCAATTCAGGGCATTCTTGGCATATTTTGTCTCAGGCTTGGTATCCTTTGAAAGGTCTTAATCTGTACTATTGTTTCATTGCATGTTGAAGGAGTTTAGCCATTCACAGACAGAGCTGCTGCAGGAAATGTATGGTAAATTAGGCCTTTAGATGCCAGTCTTCAGGCTTAGATGTGACCCACAAAATCAGTCAGTGCAAGCATGCAGTTGGAGGAAGGAACTGGAGGTTATGATGATTAAATAGCTCAGATTAAGAGCTTTCAAAAAAGATATGACACTCTAGAGTTGGGCTTTGAGTCACACACACCAATGAGGAAAATGTTGTCACTACAGACAACGTAAGCTCTTAATTTATTCAAATCAGACCAATGCAGATTGTAATTGTTAAACAGAGCACAAATATACTGGCCTAAACTTGCTTGTGTCTTGAGGGAACAAACATGACTGGAGTCTGGATGTAATGTGGACACTCAATCACTCATTTAGTGGTACAGGTGCAGCTTAAATAGGAGAGCACATGACATGATCACATGACAAACACACCTGTAAGGAATGAACAATAATTGGGAGCACCATCATCAGTCACTGAATCTGTTAACACCCCCACTTGCTCACACATTATTCACAATCAACAAAACAAAACAAACATAGGAACATCATGAAAACCAACTACATTGCATCTTTGCTTGGCTGCTCCCCAAACAGAAACATGGAAAAGGTAAACAGTTTCCCTTTTGTAGCTGGTTTAGTCATAAGGTCAGCTACCATCTGATCTGTTGGGCAATACTCCAAAAACACTTCACCATTGTTAACAGTTGATCTCACAAACTGGTATTTGATATCTATATGCTTGCACCTCTGTCTTTGAACAGGATTCTTTGCCAGCATAAGTGTGCCCTGGTTATCTTCAAAGATAACAGGCAAATCACACTGATCATTTAGATGTTCAAGCAGTTGAGTCAAATACAAACACTCTTGTATGGTGTAAGCCAATGCAATGTACTCAGCCTCACATGTTGACAGTGCAACAGTTGGCTGCTTTTTGGTTTTCCAAGAAATCAGAGGACCATTCCTACATAGGCTAACACAATAACCAGATGTACTCCGTCCGTTATTTGTGTCACCGGCCCAGTCTGCATCACTGTAAGCTAATAAGCTTAACCCTTCACCACATTTCCTGTAACAGAGGATCTTGTCTTTTGTGCCTTTCAGATATTTCAGTACATGCTTTACAGTTATCCATTGCTTTTCTGTTGGCTCACTAAAATACTGTGACAACTTGCTGACAATATAACTCAGATCAGGTCTAGTGCATGTGGTCAGGTAGATTAGGCTTCCCACTGCCTCTCTATATTTCCTGGGATTATTCAGTTTTTCATCACCATCAGTGTAATTTAATTTCTGTTCACAAGGTGTCGACCTGGGTTTACAACCCTGCATGTCAAACCTTTGAAGCAGTTTGCCAACATAACTGTGCTGTGACATAGTCACACTTCCATCACACTGGTAAAAGGAGATACCTAGAAAAGTTTTCAATCTTCCCAAATCTTTCATGTGGAACTCCTCAGCAAGCATTTCTTTAACAGCTTTTAAGGCTCTCTCATCACTAGCAGCAATAATCAAGTCATCCACCCATATCAATATTACTACTTTTTCACGTTCTGTTTCTCTTTTGTAAACACATTGGTCTGCTGGATTCTGTACAAAGGTGTGTTCACACAGATAGTCATGTAACATTTTATTCCAGTTTCGACCTGGTTGCTTTAGTCCATACAATGATTTCTCAAGTTTGCACACAAGTTTTTCATTTGTCTGAGACTTTACATCATATCCTTCTGGCTGCTCCATGTAAATCTCACAATTAATCGGTGCATGTAGGTAGGCTCTTTTAACATCCATCTGATGGAGAATCAGATCCTCCTGAGCAGCTTTCTGCATTTACACTCTAACACTGGTAAGGTTAGCAGTAGGAGAAAAAGTCTCTCCATAATCTATACCCTTCTCCTGACTGTACCCCTTGGCAACATAACGGGCTTTGTACTTGTCAGATCCATCAGCATTGTTTTTGTTAGAATACACCCATCGACCCCCCACTGCTTTCTTTCCCTCAGGACTCCTGGCGCTCAGAGTCTCGCAGTTTTATCTGGTAAAGCTAATGATTAGAGGTCTTGGGGCCGAAACAATCTCAACCTATTCTCAAACTTTAAATGGGTAAGAAGCCCGGCTCGCTGGCTTGGAGCCGGGCGTGGAATGCGAGCCGCCCAGTGGGCCACTTTTGGTAAGCAGAACTGGCGCTGCGGGATGAACCGAACTCCGGGTTAATGCGCCCGATGCCGACGCTCATCAGACCCCAGAAAAGGTGTTGGTTGATATAGACAGCAGGACGGTGGCCATGGAAGTCGGAATCCGCTAAGCAGTGTGTAATAACTCACCTGCCGAATCAACTAGCCCTGAAAATGGATGGCGCTGGAGCGTCGGGCCCATACCCGGCCGTCGCCGGCAGCAGGAGCCGCGAGGGCTAAGCCGCGACGAGTAGGAAGGCCGCCGCGGTGAGCACGGAAGCCTAGGGCACGAGCCCGGGTGGAGCCGCCGCGGGTGCAGATCTTGGTGGTAGTAGCAAATATTCAAACGAGAACTTTGAAGGCCGAAGTGGAGGAGGGTTCCATGTGAACAGCTGTTGAACATGGGTCAGTCGGTC